CACAAATGAGAAGATTATTCTAGACTTACTCTAGACACATCTTTACAAAGTCTAAAACCAAGTCATGACTGGAAAACCAAGTCATTACTGGAAGAAGCTGATTTGTCAGTAAATTGTTACCTGCCAGAACAAAACCTTAATATTTTATAAAGGAAGATAAGATAATCCAGGTTCTCAATAATGTAACATCACAATATTCAGCACATAATAAAAGATTACGGCACAAGCTAAGAAGCAAGACAGTGTGTCATGTAACCAGGAAAAAAAATGGACATACAGTTTAAACATATTCAGGGATTTTAACAGAGGCTAAATGAGATCACCACAGTTAAGGCGGGACTAAACTTTAATCATGGCTAGAGATGGCGAAACTTCTTAGTAAGAGGAGAAGGGCAAACACTCTATCAATATAAATTAAAAAATGTTAATATACTTCCAAACTTTGACTCAGATATTCTGTTTCTAGAAATCTGTCTTAAAACATGATCAAAACTTATATAAAATTTTATCCTTAAAGATGTTCAATTATATTAGTTTATAAATTAAAAACAATAATTATAACACATAGTTACAATTATAATTATAATTCATAAGAGTGAAAAGTAAGGAAAATTCAAAATACCCAGAGAGGAGGAATGCTTAATTATGACATAATAATCATTTAAAATATTTACATAAAATTTTAAATAATGTTAGGCATCACTGGGTTAGGCATTTTCCAAGTTTTGTACAATGAACATGTATTGATTATCATAAAATAGTAATTCTTTTTTACTAGTAATTAAAAAAAGAGAAAGAAAAGAGTGTGCAAGGTGGGGGGGAAATGGAAATGACGCTTCAGGGCTGCCTTTTTTTTCCTTTAAAAAGTGGAAGAACTGGAAGCTGCTATGAATGGACTAGGGTTAGACTTGATCATTTCTACCTAGTCTTTCTCAGGACGTGTTCAATATAGGGTCTCGTCCCAGAGCCCTTGCTGGGAATGCTGCATGAGATATAGCCATCATCCATTCCCTTACCGTGCATGTACTGCACATACGTGCGATTCCTGCTATTCTTATATATTCCAGGTGACATTTGCAGTACTGAAATGTCACAGACACTTCAAAGCATAGGGCTTAAAAAAATGTGGCATGAGAAATATTTGTTGGGATTAGATTTAAGAGTGCAATAATAAATTACAATTTTCTGGTGGTTTGTCTATATACACAGACGGCCTCTAAGTGTTTTTATGTGACACGGTAGGAAGAGAGATGGAGGTGGGTGAGCGGGAAAAGTATGGTAGAGTGGAAGGAGGAGGAACAGATAGATTTGGACAGGGCTGTACTCAGAGGGGCCATTAAAGTTTGTAATGGCCTAGTAGAGGATAGATTACAGTTTTGTTTATCCTCTTATCTTTATCTTCCCAACACTTGGACTATGAAAACATAGAGGAAATGTTATTTTGTTTTTGGATTGACGCATAGACCTAGTCATACTGAGATGATTTTAATATATGGTTTTTTTTCTGATCTTTCTCATTGGGAAAAAAGATGCTTCAGTGGCCTTTCAATCATCCTATGAGACCATACCTATCACAATCCCATTCTATTTTAATGCCATGGCAGTTACAAAGGCAGGATTCATCCTGCTTTCTAGGAACCACAGTCAGTTGGAAGAACATATTATACTCACTAAATAGAGAACAATACATGACAGGATAGCGAAAAACTATTGGGCAGAGAAAATTAAATGATATGCTTGGATAATAGGTAACTGGTAGTATTTGAATATTGGAGGAACAGAATCATGTCTTATCCTCTCAAAAGGAGCCAAGCTTTTTTCTAGAGAAGAGAAAAATGATACTTACGGGGCACACATGAGCCAAATTTGTCAGGAAATTCAGATATCAAGTCATCATTGATCCGATCCTTCATGGGACCCAAGATAATCACTGGCCGAGTATAGTTTACTGCAAGGGGATAGGGAGATGTAGATGAGAAGAAAGACGTGGAAACAACTGTAAAACTGTCCTGCAAGGATGATTCTTATGGTGAAATTGTCAAACAGTAAAAACTGCTAAGGGCATTACTTCATTGGATAATTGCCCATACAGCCCTGCCTAGGGAAACTGGTGTTTAACACTCGTTATCTTCGCTGTGCCTACTTTCTGGAATTAGCTAACAGGGAAAAGCAACTGCAGTGTCTGTCAACGAAAAGCAGTATTTGGAAGGGTTTTGCTTACTGACAGGTTATGCCTACACCATGTCAAAACAACTATTGAATTTAGTCAATTGAGTGGGAGAAAAAAGATTCCAAAGCGGTTGTTTGGCCATTGTTTAGACAACGACTTTAAAAAGTAACTGTTAGCAATGTTTTTATAATTTATTTTTCTCAGCTCAAAATGCTCTTTATACTTTCCTGAAGTTTTCCCATTTCCTTTGTATCATAGGGTTAGAAGAACTCTAAGGTTCATTAGGTACAAATCCTCATCTGATGCTTGAATTTTCTTTGCAATATCTTTGTCAATAGCCATTAGCCTCTGTATGGATGTCTCCAGGAGAAGGAATTGCAGGCTTCGGGAGCAGCCTGCAGATGGCTTGTGTCTTAGGAAAGGTCTGCTAGGAAGCCCTTCCCAACACTGAGCTCTTGTCAGTCTCCCAATTTTATCCATTGGTCCTATAGATGGAGCCCTTCAGTGACTTGGATGTGATCCTTCCCATTAAAAACCACTCATCTGGAGAGCTGCTGCATCCTCCTGGGGGCTGTTACTGCCCATGGTCAGCAAGAAAGTTGTTTGTTTGATAATAGGGCGACAGAGAGAGCATCTGGCCTGGGGACAGCTGAGTACTAAGCAGAGTTTATTTTCCTTACTCCTTTCCTCTTTCCCTCCTGTAATGGTGTCACCTGTTGTGGCCTAGAAACCAGGAACCAGAGCATGCTGGGAAACTTACTTTCCTGCCTTGTGACAGGCTCATAAGAAAGGATGAAGTCTTCTTGCCCTCCTGAGAAGAGAAAAAGGAAAATTACAGTGAACTAACAACCAGTCATATACCACAGCTACAAGCCCTGTTCTGAAACACAGGAAACAGACACAGTTTAGGGTTAATTTCCCTTGCTTTCTCTCCTTGAACCATTCAAAAAAATCTTTTCATCCTCACATAACTGTTTGCACTATTATAGTGTCAGGTTATCGATGGCCATACCTCTAAGTGATGACTGGAGGCTAGCTATCTGCAGTTAATCAGGGCAGAGACCTGTGAGACTGCCTTCTGTCTGACACTGAGAATTGGAGCACCATGGCCTCCACATCCAGCATTACTACTTAAAACCATCTAGTTCAAGGATAAGGTCCGTCCGATAGTTTGGTACTTAGTACTTAAAAGCATTTCTGGTCCTTCTAGTTCCTCTTCTATTTTATTTCCCAGAGAAGCACATTGTTCAAAAGCAAGTGTCTGTTTCATTTGATACAAAAACTTCATCAGCATATGCTATAAGGCTCTGAGAATTTTACTCTAATGTTAATTCATCAGGAAAATGTTGGGTCAATTCATGAAGATAAAAAATTGTGAAGCACCCTAAATCACTGGTTATAATTGCTGCCTAATCTAGGCTGAAACTTCAGAAAAAGAACTAAGAAAGACAACATGGTAAAGGTGTCAACCCCTCCAATGTCATTTGCTACATACACTCTTCTGATTCATGGTGGGCCTCAAGTCAACAAATAACCAGGGGGAGTAAATTTGTTTTAGGCAATTAATTTTTTTCAATCATCTTTTCTACCCAGTTGATGACCTGGCCATGAGATTAGCTTGATTCAGCTGCAAACCCAGAAAGGCCTGCTCTTTTATTTGCTTCAGGTCTAGGCCTGACGAGCCTTTGGTGGGGGAAAAAGTTTAGGGCTTTTGAAAAGGACTTCCTGTCTGCTGTTCTATGGAGGCGGAGTGTCATATGAAGTAGTTTTTCCTGACACCGAAGGGCAGTGAATCTCATTGCTTTATCTCCTCATCATCCCTGACACACTGTCACAGTCTGTCAGCACCACAGTCTCCTCCTTTGGCAGCCACAGCATCAGACTGGTGAGCTCATTTCATAAAAGGAGTTAATATCACAGACAGTTCTGATGCTGACAACTGATTTGGGGAAATGAAGCAATATGTGGGTAAAGTACAGATGTCCTCCCTGGAGACTGGGTAACTGGGGTTGGGGGAGGGGGGCGTCTTAGCTTTTTAAGCTTGAGAAATGGCCCCGTCCTGTCACAGCTTATCTCACCCTCAGGCGTGGCCCTCTCTCAGAATGGCACTGGTAGGCCAAGCTACTTCCTGATGGCATGGACAAAGGGCCCGATGTTCCTTCTAAGTGGCATCTACTTAGCGCTCCTCCAGAAGTCTTCAGGGGACAATCCCACATCTGGACAGTGGTTTGGTATATGAGGAGTCAGATTCTCAATTTTTTTTTAAATTCAGGAAAAAATGATTTCTTTTAATAAACAAAATTAAAATTTACAGAGGCTAGGCAAAAAAAAGAAAAAAAGAAAGAAAGAAAAAGAAGAAAAGGTGATTGATTGCTAAGCCCCAGACCCCAGTTATCTAAAGCCTGAGATATATAGGCCACAGGAATTCAAAAAGTAAGTGTAAAATGGTTGGGGGAAAAGTATAGCTTTAGGAATGGAAACTGGCAGACTAACACTGCAGTGTTGGGCTGTAATTTACAGGGAAATCTCCATGAAATGATTGATAGGAGAAAAGAGAATAAAAGGATAAGAAAGGTTTTAAACATTAGGTGATGCTTATGCCTCTCCACGAGACTGGGAAGTCCAATTGAGGACTGGGTTTGCCTTTCTACTCTGTCCCCAGTGCTGAACATAAAGATGTCAGTGACTTTGCATTCTGACTTTAGGGATAGAAAAGGGGACGAGCAATGAGGCCAAAGATAGGTTCTACTTTGTCTTTCTGTCTATATGTTTTCATTTTGGGAAGTGTGGTCTTCTCTAAATGAACAAAACACATCACGTTCCTGTAGGAATCTCTTTCCAATGACCTTGCAGGTCATTCAGATGGGACATTCTAAAGGCAAACCTTAAATAAGTTATTCAGTGTCTGCATGTATTGCTTGTGATTCAGAAAGCTAGGTCAAAGCAACATAGCTGATTAACTTTGTTAGACAGTTCTGTAGTTCTTTGTTTATTCATTGCTTTTTGGTTTATTTTCTAACTTACCAAAGGCACTGATTGTTGTTCAGAGCAGTAAGGCTGGCAGACAGCAGTGGCAAAGTACGTCATGCCAGGGCCCATCCCAGGAAGGGAAGCTAGGGCAGCTGGTATTACAGAATAGCTGTGAGTTCAGCACTGTAAACCAATTTTCACTTTCATGTTCAAGAATATAAAGCCTTATGGATAATGGAAAGGAGACTCAGAGAAGGCAAAAAAAGTCACAGCAAGGAAGGAAAGGTAACTCATGCGTGTATGGTACTTTCCAGTCCATCAAGGGCTTTTACATCCATTGGCATCTATTTTTCACAGCTATTTCTTTTTAGGTGTGTGCTCTGATAACCCATTTTACAGATGAAGAAGCTGAGGCTCAGAGATATTAATGGGGCCTGTTTCCTCAATTAGTAAGTAGTGGAGTCAAGATTTAAAACCATCTTTTTTGACTCCTTGTTGAGTACATGCCACTATCTCCAAAAGGCAAGAGATATAGAAATCTCTGTGGGGACTGGGATGGAGGGGCAGACCTTACAGATGAACAAAGGGCAGGTGGCAGAGATGGGGGCTGAACTGGGTCAGAGTCACAGAGAGGCCAGAAGGTGCTCCATCTGTAAACACCAACTCTTAAAAAAAATGCTGCTATGTCATCCCCATAAAATAGTCATTCTTAATAGTTTTTCTATTTTTTGCTCAGGAGGTGTTGGCACTTGGAAATAACAGATGTCAAAAAGGTACAGATTATCACTTGGTCTTGTTTTTGCATTTGCATGGCTGAGAGTGGGAGAGCGGCAGCGCTGTGTGTGGACATCTGCAGCTGTAGGAAACATAGCAAAGGCCTTTGTAACAATCTACATGAAACACTTTGTGTTTCAACTGGAAGCAAGTGACAAGAAAACGGATTAGGAGTAAGACCTTGATATGCCCTCACGATAGAAAAAAGCAAGTTGATGTTCTTTAGAAATTTTTGGGAACTAGAAGAGAGAGACTTATGAAGTGAAGACCAGTGGCAATACAGTTAATGTTCTAAATTTAGTGTTTAGTGCCTGCATTTGATGATTATTAAGAATGAATTAGGTTCTTAGAGCCATAGCACATTAGCATTAAGAAAGGGTCTGGCGTTCTGGTAGTTCATAGATGGCGAGTGTGGAGCATGTGATGTTACTCCCCCATTCCATGCCCTTCACAGGCATCGTGAGTTGATCATTGCCCACATTATCGCAGAGTCTCAGCTTGGCCTTAATACCTTTCAATACAACTCTTCAGGCAGATATTACCATCCGGTCGAAGTTGGAATCTTGATTAAAACATCTACTTGCCATCACTGTTCCAACCCAAGCTACTCATTTTACATAGGAGAACTGAGGGTCAAAGATGTTGAGTGGTTTTTTTCAAGAGCACATAGTGAATTCGTGGTTCAGTGTCTCCATGGGATGTTCAGAAGATTAAACCAGTTAATATATATAGAACCTTAACACCAGACTTAGAACATAGCCAATCCTATATAAATGCTGCTGCTTATATTAATTTGATAGGTGATATGGAATGGTTGAAATAAACTAGATAATATGTGAAGAGGCTTGGGTTACAAACTATAGGTTAGAGTGAAAATGTATGGAATTCGGAATTAAAATATCTTAATTGGACTTGAAATTTCACCATTTTTGCGAGGTACCTTGCCTCTCGGAGTGTCAGCTTCCTGTGAAACGGAGTATTACTATAAGAGCTATCTCACAGTTTTGCTGCAGAAATCAAGTGAGAAAATAGATGTAATGAAAAATTGCTTATTTCATAGGTAAAGAATTAGAGGAACTATAAGGGCAATATTTGAGAAGAGTGGGAAAGAAGAAAATGGGCATCATTTTGACTGATTCCATTGGAAAAGTCTTGGTTCTCCTCATGTCAATACCTCAAAATTTCACTCAGATCATTTCTTCAAGATCCTTATTTTGAAAATCCAATTTAGCTGATGAACACCAGTGGGTTAGAAGGATGGTCATCAGCTCTCCCACATCCACAATGACATAAAGAGCTTTACTGAGCTGTGAGGAAGGCAGCTCTTCCACTGTAGAGATTTGCAAAGTCTCCACTATGCCTACGTGGTCTTTGCTGTGTCTCAACACAAGGGCAATTGAAACTAAGATGCAAAGCAACCACAAATACAAGCCTGCACTGTACTACTTTGTTGAGAGACAGAAATCTGGAATTAGCCCTTAAATAAGATAGTTTTGAGGTGGCATTTTGTATAATTAGACAGCGTGCACTGTAATTAACTGCATTTTAGCTAGGGCTTGGTATAATTGGACTTTAGCAAAGATAATACCATAATGCTTGAGATGGTGCAGCAAAGTTCTGAGCTATTTATTAGAGTTTGAAGTTAGTGTAAGTGTGTGTCTGTGTGTTGTGTATCTCAGGAAATGTCTGAGGCTTTCAAAAAAGGTCACAACATGTAACTCCAGGATGCAGTGTGAATGGTGCCCTCTGGAATTGTGAAACATAGTAGCCTGGGTCTTTGTTTCTACATGCTGACCATTTTTTAAAAGCCATTTTTTTCCCCCCAGAATGGACATGGAATGGTTCTAAGAGTAAAAAATAATACCTGAACATCAGTGAAAAAAGGGTGTTTTTAGTATTTGTCTATACTGCTATTCACAAAACAAAAAGGTCAGTCATAATTACAGCAAAGCCAGGAATTCGATAGAAAATTCAGCCGATTTTGATTTCAAAATGGCACTTTCTGGAAACCATGTCTGTCTCAAGCCTCTGTGTCTTTCCCCCTGCCCCTCCCCTGCCTGGAAAGTA